AAGAGAATTTGGATGATGCGAAATCGAGGTTGTACGGAGAGTGTACAAGAATTGTGAATTTCAGTCTTCTCTCTGTTTGCATTGTTTTTGACTGTAACAGAGACTTTTGTTGTTATAATGATAAAAAAAGAAAAAGAAAAAAAAAGAAAGTATTATCCTTTCAAGTCTTATTCTGTGGATTCATTGCTTGAGTGATCGTAAGTTTTCACAATATTATCCAAATTAATCGTCATTCCCTATGGCAGAAATTTTGTTTGGATGACTCCCTGGTCGCTATGTCATAGGTAACTAGGACGTAGTACTCATGACTAATAAACGGTATTACTTAAAGCTGTCATCCAGAGAACTGAGGCTGAGCACATTTGAATAAGACGATATGTACTACTTAAAATACTTTCAAGCATGTTTCTATCTCTAATGTAATAACGCTACGCGGTAGGATACTTTACTTATCAATCAATCATCGTATAATAAATAATATTTATAGGAAAATAATGAAATGTTTATTGTATGATGATGTAGAGGACCATGGGTTAAAGTATTGTTAAATTAGGAACACGTGATGTTTATTCCTGCTAGAAGAAGGTCCAACTACAAGAACATGGCGGAAGTTGAGTCCAACCGAAGATGTAAAGAAAACAAACAAGACCGAAATATATATATGTCAAGAAATATATGTATTAAACAACAAATTTACAAGTGACAAAGACATCAACATTTATGTTTGTTGTGAACGTAAAGAGTTTGTATATTGGTGAAAGTTCGTACGCACGTTCATGTGTGTTTCATGGCGTTTTCTCACAAGTGGGCGAAAACGCGGATCTCTGCGAGAGATCACATTTTTAAATGTGTCCGCTGAAATGCAAAATGAACGCCCCCTAGTGAACAATTAAGAAATTAAGGAGGAGTTAACACCGACAATGATACTTATAAAAATCAAGCTGCTAAGAAGTAGTTTTAATAGCTACTATAATCAGTAAGTTTTTCCTCAAGAACTGATAACTGCGGAACAGGCTCCCTCATGGATTCTTCCTTGAGCACTACAATCTTAATTTTTCAATGATCAGTCATTATCTATCTTCCTTATCCTCATAGTCTTCACCACTTGCCACCCTTCTTTTCACTCATATCACATCTCATTATAATCATTTTTTTACCCTAAGGTTCACACATTACAAAGCCACTCACGGTCAAGTGTTAGGTTAAAAGGCAATTTGTGCTGATAGGAGTGGAAGATTGAACAGGTTAAGATTGAATTTATCTGGGAAACATCCTTTTGGGAGTCGGTTCTACAGAGCAGTGGTTCGCGGGAAGAAGCTGATAGAATGGAACTTACTTTTCACCAATGGAATACGGAGCAAATGTGGGTGGTTTGCTACTATGTAAGTGACATGGCGTGCCCTTGCCTTGAAGGTTTGAATTGGCCGGATCTGAGAATGTAGCTCGTTCGAGAACTTCTGTGGAAGTAGCAATAGAGCAGCGAGAGGCTTGTCACATCCTGCCTGTGGGAGAGACCTTAGAAGATGGAAAATAATTCAACACCCACAAGGACTCGATCAAAACTGGAGAGTGAAATCTGGGCAGCTTCCGCCCAAATATGACAACAGTATTCCATTTTTGGTTGAGTGGCTTTCAGATCTTGTATTGGGTGAATATCAGTATTTAAAAAATCATCAAATTTATTCGCAATGAATCGGATATGGATGGCTTTACATTCTACATTTTAACGGTATGTATGTTTCTCAAGTAAATGTTCTTTTTTTCTTAGCTACCATCAGGTATATATTTTCATTTTTTTATTTTTTATAGACAAAATTTAAATCACAGGTAAATTATTTCATTTTCTTAAAAATTGATATTTGTTGTTGCTATTCGAGAACACATGATATAAAGCTGCAAAGGACATTTTGAAACTGAAATATATACTTATTTATTTTGATAGTTTTATAAAACATCTATTCTAATTAAAAAAACACTCAGCTATTTTGGTTAACCTGAAAGTCGTTTTTTAATATTGATTTGATTGTAAAATTATTATTTAATTAAACGTTTAATTATGATTTAATTAAACTTTGAATGCTACTTAAACGTTGATTTCACGTACGTGGATTACTTCCTGGCAAATTACCACCTGAAACAAATTCGCGTCAACGGCACTTTCTTCTACTTTGATTTTCTTTTACCTCCAACCAGCTCTTGCAGAGTCAAACGGTGACAGGGAATGGCTGTCGGGAGCACGTTTCAGTGAAACTGGAAACTTCTACTTCTGAATACTCCTTATAATTTACTGAAGCTTTACAAATTGCATATAGACAACATTCTTGGCACATGTACATAATTAATAAATCACTGTGCCATCAAATAAGACCTTCATATACTTCAAAGAGAAATTATACTGAACAATTTAGCTATATTATGATGTAATATATTATAGAGTGCAGTAGTTTCAGTTGTTTTTCAATAAACAATGCAAATTTAAAACATTTTGTCTTATAATTTGTACTCGGCAGTATTGTAATTTTATATACATTTTTACCTATTTTTTTGCATTTATTAATTATGATCTAACAATTAATCTAACAAATGATATTGAGTATTTATTTTGTAATCTTTTACAATTTTTTTTACAGAGTTTTTACTTATCAATACAGTAAAAGATGAATATTTTGCTTGTGTTGCTTCATACTTAGAATTTTGGTTTGAATATATTTTCCATTCAATGTATCCAATACAAAAGATATCAAGTTTATTTGGATGTATTCTAAAATTAGTAAAAATTTAAAGTTAGTTTGTAAGCAAAAACCTGCGGAAATTGGTTATTTCTGTACATTTTTCAGACGATCTTTAAAACTAAATGCTCATAAGTTACTGAAAAGTATGAATCTAATTTTTTGTGTCAGTACTTAGGATATCAAATTCGAGCTTTCACATTGAGTGCAATGTTGATTTTCTAAAGAAAACGAAAAATCAACCCCCCCTTACATCACACGTTCAGATTGAGAGGAAATGAAATAGCGTAGCAAGCAAGAGAAACGAACCACTGAGCCAAAAGATCAAGTTGTTTAATTTTTACTATGAAAATGTAAATGTATTTCTCTTCGTACTGGGTTCACATGAATGCGACAACTGACATTTTTTAAAATCATTTCACCCCAAGCAAGGCGACAGTGCCACTAAAATTCAGGGGGTTACAGGGAGTGAAAGTGAATGCGAGTGAGAAGATTTAAATTGGGGAGAATTGAGGAATGGAAAAAAAAAGGAACAGGGTTCAAGAATACAGCAGATGGCGATTGACGTTGCATTTAAATGTTTAAAAATTGTAGTTATCAGGAAAGAAAGAACACGATAAAAAAAACCTGTTATGGTAGTAGTGACGTTTGCATCTAGTTAGTTTAACAGTAAGACTTGTGAGACCTATTTGCCAATCCAGTAGCACACTTAAATTCATGTGGTCGGGGAACCAGGAAAAAATGCTCATCCGAGCAGTTGCCCTGAAAATATTCATAGAACAGACGTCATGTCACGTCGGTGAGAAAGTGACTGGAAACGAGCTGCCTGGTCAGGATCGATTGTATTGCAGACCCTTCTCTGGATTTTCTCAAGAATCTCGATATTCACAATAGGAGCACCTGACCAGATATGACAACAGTATTCAATACACGAACGAATGGTAGATTTTTAAATGTTCAAGATGGATTCTGATGAGAAAATATTTTGGGCACGACACAGAGAAACAACCTAACTGGTAGCAAACGTAGCAATTGACTCGACATAATCGCCCAACTTCATGTCAAAACGTGAGGCCAAGAAGGCGTAGAGTGTTGCTGTTTTGGGGTTCAGCATTACCCATCTTGATGGTAGGCAGAAATGGTTCTCTCCGGTGATTAAATGAAAGCAGTTTTGGAGGCGTTTAAATTTACAAGCCATGTCAGTCCTGAATGACTTCAAATACAACCCTTGAAAGTACATTATCGAATGTTAAAAGATATTCGTAAATATTAAGCAACCTGTTTTTTTTTGTTTTTTTGTTTTGGCTAAGTGGAACATTTTTTTGCTCGCCTCTATGGAGATCGCCATATTTTGAGAAAACTGGGAGTCGAAGAAAAGTAAAGAAATATTCATTAGTTAAAAAAAAAAAGAAAAAGTTAATCGAAAACAAGATGTTTTAAAAAGTCTGTCAATGTAGGAAAAGTATGATAAATACCCACTTGGACATTTTTATTTAATTTGTCAATTGTCTGTTATTGTATCAGTACATGGACAAAATGACATCCATTTATTTGTATACATTAAAAAAACTAATTAATAAATCAATGTTAAACAAAATTTATATTGCTAAATACACCTATGTCGCTAGACATTTGATCTGTTTGTTTTGTTTTGCTTTACGGCATATCATCACCTTAATGGGTTATTTAATGCCGAGAAGATATTTATTGCTGGTAATAATATTTTTCAAAAATGTATTGCTACTAATATTGTTTTCAAAAATTTATTGCTGGTAAATTTTTTTAACAAAAATGTATTGATGGTACTAAAACATATTTTTACACTTTCATAGTTCTTTGACCCCAAAACTATTTGCCCATAGCTGGGACCCTAATAGGTGCTACCACCTCAGGTCAGGGTGGACCTGGGAATACCAGCAACACTGTGGTTCCACGCCCCTCAAACCTTCCTGATCAGAGGCTTTGCTGTTAGATGTAGTTTATCTTCTTACCCAGGATGCGGATGTAGTTTATCGTCATACCCATGACGCGTAAGACTTTTGAGAAACCCTGCATATTTTTCTAATCACACTTTTCCAAATTTCTTTCGTTTCCCTCATTTTTCTCTCTCTCTCTCTCTCTCTCTCTCTCTCTCTATCTATATATATATATATATATATATATATATATATATATATATATATATATATATATATATATATATATATATATATATATATATATAATATATATGAAAAATTTATAATTTTCATTTGCTCTATGATGAAATAATGAAATACCAGTTCCAGTAAGATCACCGAAGTTAAGCAACGTCGAGCCTGGCCAGTATCTAGATGGGTGCCCGCTTAAGAATACCGGATGCTGTAAGCTTCTTCGATGTGCAGTTGGTGTGATGGATAATGACTCGGAATTGTTAATTCTAGTTGGGTTCGTTATATTCACTTACTCTCAAATACCTTTGGGAAAGGTATAAATCCACCTCTCCCCCAGCTATGGGTTAATTAGTAAGACTTGTATCACTAAACTATTATGCCACCCCCCTCCCCCCAAAAAAGAGTCTTACAATCTAAAAATATTTTCTGGTTTTAAATAACCTACAAAGGGTTGATAAACCGTAAAAAAATTAACCAATCAATCAATCATCTGCTCTATCTAATTTGTCACCTTTTTTCTTAAGTATTTCAATCATTGTCGCTTTTATTTAATCACGCCCATCTAATTACACCCACGAATTTTCTCACTTATATGTGTGTACTTTTTTTTAAAACTCTTTTCTTTTACTAAACCTATCGACGAGAGGTTGCTAAAAGTTCTCCGTCCGAGTTATTTCCTAAGTTCTAATATTTGGCAATTGAAATAGTGATTCTGGGAAGTGGGTCGGCGCTAGATCTTTCAGCAATCCCTCGTAATAACTCAGATCTCATTTTTCATCACACGGCCACAGGAACACATCTTATGGTCGCCACGAAGCACCAATTTCGTTCCAAAATGTCTTTTTAAGCATGGTACCACGCCTCAGTGATATAACGTTCTAAAAAAAAAAAAAGTTGGATTTTTTTTCATCCCACCAATTACGAATTGCATTATTACCCGATATTTTACTTAATTCTTATTTTTAATTTTAATTACAGTGATAACATGCAGTAAATGCATCACGTTGAATTACGGCAAATCGAACTGCAATTCATCCCGTACCTATAATTACAACAGCACAGTGGAATATTGGTGTGATTCCGGTTTTATTTCTTACGGCAATAACAGTCTAAGATGCGGAGATAATGGTTCCTGGGTTATTGATAATGACACTTTCAGAATGACATGTAACGGTGCGTATAATTAAATAATTTCTATCTTAATGATGAGGAATGACATCCTGAAGACTTATACCGAAGCATATTTGATATTTTACACATGGAACTTGGAACTAGAACAGTCTACCCTAGCGAGCGAAATAAACGGTTCAGTTCGACATTCCAACCACCTGAAGAAGGCCGGAGCGTACAACGGCCGAAATGTTGTGATAAATATGGCAATAAAGATGAGAATGATAGTCCGAATAATGTAAATAGTGTACATAATACCTCATCTCAGAAATATAGACAGATACAAAATTTGAGATGTTTTTTTTCAAGTATCATTGATCAAATTTGAATTCAAGTGTTCTTTTTCGTTCTTACTATTTGAATTATGTTGAACGTTTGTACTCTTCTTGATTTGGTAAAATGACAGATAACTTACAGACCAGATTTTTGTCCGAGTCATGTCACAAAAATCTGAATGACACCGATGGAGTTTTATTATCAAAAAGACGTTGTGATTGAAATTTCAATTCCGTAGCATTGTACACACTGCGACATTGATATTTTCAATGAATACGGGTGTGCAGTGGTGTAATGGATAGCGGCTAGGAATGCGAAATCGGAAAGTCGAGTTTGAATTCCTGTCGCGTTAGTGACATTCACTTACGCGTAAATATCCTTGGCAAATATATGAATCCCTCTCTTCTTCCAGCTATAGGTTAAATAATTGAACTTGTATCTGAAAAAATCATTGTTATTAACAAATAAGTGTTAAGACAATAATAACTAAAATTAATTTTTCTTACAATACAAAATATCTTTGAGCTTTAAATAACCCACAACAGGTTGATAAACCGTAAAAAATCAATCAATCAGTGAAAGTCTGGACTGTAAAAATACTACCAAATCCAAAATGGTATCAATTACTATCTAAAATAGTAACTAATTGAAATTTTGCACACACTTGTTGAGTTTTAAGTATTTCAAGAGATATCAAAAGAAGTTTCTCGTAAGGTGTGGCCTGTACTATCAAAAATACTATTATAATGGTTAAAAGTGATTAAGATTCAAGAAAACGTACCTCTCCCCCTTCAAAAGCTACTAGTTTACTACATTTAAACAGTTTGTACCCCCTTTCAGTGTGGGGGTGTCTTTATGTGGAGTAGGTAATTAAATTCAAATTAGAAACAATTCAATACGTTACCAATTCATTTTTTTTAAAAAAAGGACAATTCTACACAATTTCTTCCTTAAACTGAAAGTAACCGCTTACCTTTACTTCTTTCTAATTAATAGTGATAGAATGGTAATAGTGATAGAATGGTAATAGTAATGATATTATCAGCTGTTTCATTACAAGGAAACATCTGGCATTGATTGACCGAGCAGCTGCTTCCGGTTGAAATTGTATAAAATCTTTCTCTTAAAACTATTTTGCAGGAAAATAGGTTCCTAAAGTCCAGTAGCTGTTATTGCTCTTTCCAGTATTGATGGGGGCTTCTTTCTTAACCTTTTGTTTGAAGTAGTGTGTAATGTCAACATCTTGATTTGGTTACTGTTTTCTCTTCAAGTTACATTTTAGCATCTTTTGCTGTTGGTAGTCCTCAAGAATGCAATTTTAACTATTGATCGTGTACCGCTGACAGTTTAGATATTTCTGAACGGATTTGGCGCCATGCATGACATCCATATGAAAATCTCGATGTAAATATGACTCGAATTTTCAGGTTAATGTTTTGGTTTTGTAGCATTTTGCAATATTGGGCGAAACTACCTTTAACAGCCTATTTTATGTTCAATTTACTCCAATACTAAATTTGTTATAATTTATCAATACACCGAGGTATTTGATACGTTTGGTATATACTAATTGCCCATACTGTATTTTTATGATGGATTCAGGATATGTGTCATCTCTGCTTTCATTTCAATTTCAGATCATAGTTTCTATTTTGGAAAGGTTTATCATGAGTCCTATTTCTTGGAACTTAGTAGAGGACGTTGATTTTCTGTTCAAGATCAATCTTGTCCCAACTATGAATACCTATGTCATCAACATGGCCCCCTTTATCATTAATATAATGACCTCCAGAGCGATTGCCATTCAAAGATATAGAACCCGGTCTGTCCTGCTATTTACCTTCAGATGGGGAGAGAAGAAGAGGTTTCATACCTTTCCCAAGGTTATTAGCATGTAAATAAATGTAATGAATCTGACTGGAATTCGAACTCGGCTCTCCGATTTCTCGATCCGAGCCGCTATCTATTACTCTTACTACATTAATATCTATTTTCTTGCAGTGGGGTGGGGTGTATTGGGTCTTTATCTGAGATAGAGCTTTAAATACAAATTAAAAACAATTAAATTCGTTATCAATTGACTTTCAAAGTAAAATAGAAAAGAAAATTCTTTCTTAAATTCAAAGCAATCCCTTATCTTGAATTTTTCGAGTTAATGGTGATAGAAGAAAAAAATACTTTTCAGATTCGAAGAAGGAATTTAATTTGAAATGTCAGTGACAATTATTTTCTTGTAACAGAATTTTGAAACTTTATTTTCAGCAAGTAAAACTTATATCGGATGCTACGACATGGAAAATGTTACATCTACATCTACGAATATAGACAACTGCAGGCTTGACTGCCAAAGAAATGGTTATCACTACGCTGGTTTCAATAATGCCGGCTGTGCTTGTGGAAACACATTGACAAATCAGGCATCCAATCAGTGCCAAGAGAGGTGTAACATTAATGGGACTGTTACCTGCGGAGGTACTGGGAACATCAGGACAACGCATTATTCATTCTGTAAGTAAAAAGCAATTAATTAATTGGATAACTATGATTTCTGTTACTGCCTGTTAGAATTATTGAATTATTTAGAAATACCTTCACTAGCTGAGCTCACCACAACTGAAACACGCTAAGAAAGACGTAAAATCTTTTTTTGAGAGAATACAGATTTTTGTAATTATCTGTTCATATGAACATTAGTAATTTTAATTTTTAAAGAAGTTAAAAAAAACCGACACACACTTTTATAGACAATCAGATTTGTATTTTATAAAAATGTTTGTAAAATATAGAATGAGAAAAAAAAATGAAATAAAATAATTACCTATTTTACGATGAATATATAATAATTTCCTGCTGGAAAATTTTAGCTACGTGAATCTCGCTGTTCTAGCTACATGAACCCATTTGGAAATTATAACTACATGAACTCCTCTGGAAAATTATAGGTACATAAACCCAGCTGGAAAATCATAGCAAGAAACTGAAAGATAGTTCCACTGTCGAGAAATGCGAGGAAAGAAATTATTAGAATAGAACTTACGGTTACATCTAGCTAGTTCAACAGTAAAATCGTGAGATCTAGTTGCCAATCTAGTAGTACACTTAAATTCATGTACCAAGGAGGAAGCGATATTTATTCTGTGAAAATAGAGAAATTCCAAAAGAGGGATGGGGAGAGCTGGTCTTCTGTCTTATAATTAAACTTAGCTTGCCTCAATTACTGATCCAAGCACACCACAGTATTCCTTACATCAAACCAACACATTCTTACTTCACCCACCGTCATACCTAATAGTCTCTATGAAGTCTGAACTAGTTCCCATATGTACACTTTGTCTGTGGTGGTGGTGGTGGGGGGGAATAAAAATAAGAAGGAGGAAAGCTCAAAAGAACAATTGCTATGAAAATATTTATAGATATGACATAGAGCCATGTCACGATGGTGGTAAAGTGACTGAAGTCGAAATACCAGTTTAGGACCGATAATATTACAGGCCCTTCTTTTGATTTTGAATGCTTTCCCGATCACTACATTAAGTTGAGGCTCAAGCATTATCTATCCAACATATTCTCATAATTTTCACTTACTTCATCCGCTTACGTCCATACAACAACCTTATTTAGTAACTCTCTAACTTGAGTGACTCTTGGGCTTTATGTTGGATGAAAATTTAGTAATAATAACTAAAATAAAAGAAATACCTTAATTTGCAGTCAGTTGTTCAACCGGCGGCGTGACATTGCCGATGTATGGGTCAGCTGTATTTTTCACTTCTTTTGCCGCCAAATTCACCTAATCAGGAGACATTTTGTCTAACATCATCCTATCAACCATTGACACTTCATGATAAGGAAAGAAGCCAATTTCGTTCTAGCCACAGCCATATATTCTGCAGACTCTTCTGATATCTTATTTGAATAGATCATTTTTTTAAATAAATCGACCGCAAGAAATTTATTCTTTGCCTTTTAACAACTCCACCATCCCCAACCACCAGCCAACAGTTTCTTACGTCATTGATAACTGTGTACTACTGATGTTGTCCTTTTTCTTAGTTCATAATTGTGTGGCATCCGTCGGTCTTGAGAAACCTTGGATCAGCACCGAAAGAGCTGATGGCGGTGCAGCATGTGTTATGGCTGTACAGGCCCACATGGCATACACAGTCTCGATTGCAATAAATGCATGTGATAACGCCTTGTTTTTTTTTCTTGTCGTCGAGTGCGCTTCTTCACGGTCGCAAGCTTTCGTTTCTCCTGTCCTCTCTCTACGTCTGTCCTCGGTCTACATCGCGTCTTCAGCGTGAGCGATCCTTGGCGATGTCTTTCTACCTCTCGAAGTTCATATCCATCGCCTTCATATAACTTTTGCAGACGTCCTTGCGGCGATGATGAGGTCGGTCTCGTGCCCTCCTCCCAGTGGCCAGTTCCCCGTACAGTAGGGCTTTCGGAATCCTTCAATCCGGCATATGGTGTACATGTCTAAGACATCTAAGCCGGTGCTGTTGGAGAAGGGCGTATAAGCTGGGTAAATGGGTGAGAACTACGGCGTTGGTGATCCGGTTGAACCAATTGATGCCCAAAATGCGCCTCAGACAGCGAGGATGAAAAGCGCTGAATTAATTATTAATTGTAATTCGTAATTGTACGCAGTGATTAATGACGTGAGCACAGTTACAAACTTGACATTTGAAAATGAAAAGAAAGCACAGATAACTCTTTAATAAATCAGGAATCGATTTTAGTATTTATATTATGGACAGGAATTTCCTTATAAAATGATGAAAAATACAATATTTTTCCATTCTGGCAAATTTTATAGATTATCAACAAAAATTACCCTACCTTCCAAATTTTCCTTATTTTTTACGAGCATACCAGTATTTTTTTATACAATCATCCATCATACAGCATTATCAAAAATTCAGTAATTTGTTTTCTGGCCCTCAAAAATCATAAAATCTACTGAGAAAGGCATATTGCTAATCACTCTCGATTTTGGTGGAAAATTAACAAAAGTAATTTAATTTATCGAAGTGACACAAAAGTTTTGCGTGTAAGTGTATATCTTGGATTCATGACATTTCTCAAGGAATAATATGATGGGACCTGTTTCGTGAGTTAGACAAGAAATTCGATCATCGATTATTAATTTTCATATGTTTTAAATTTTATCTGAAATTTTTTAATTGCTTAGTCTGTCAATCTGCGTAATTAAGCGGAGAGTGCAGATAGGAAATACGAGAAAATCTCACGTTCCTTTTGCCTTAAGAAAGATTAGTTGAACGAACTAGCTGCTTTAACTGCTAATTTGCGAGAACTCAACGGTTTTACAGAAGATCAAACCCCATCACTTTATTCCACCTCCTCTCACGGTACCAAATTTGTTTTTGTTTTGGCATGAATGGTATTAGAATCAGATTTAATATATTTATTTATTTATTATTTCTATTTGTATTAGATGAAGCTTTGCAAATAATTATTATTTATTGATTTTATTTTATTTTTTTAAGTTGTTTTTTATCAGTATTTTATTCAGACCGTCAATTTACGGTAGTGAGTAGACAGCACTGATCGGAAATAAAAGATAAGCTAGCCTAGTGAATGAAATCGTTTGTTCGTGAATTATGTGGCCTAGTAATTGCAAGTTCAATCCCTTGGTCAGGTAGTACAAACTTATCTGCGTAGTAAAAGGAACAAAAAAAGACGCCCTTAAACATGGACATCGGAACGAGTAAAATCTATCCACGTATATTAAAGTTCGAAATTCACTGAAGTTTACCTGGATCGACAGACAGTTGAAAAAGGCCAGAGAGCACAACGGCTGATTTGGTTTCGTTTTACATCATATCAGCCTCAATAAGTTATTCAATGCCAACAAGATTTTTATTGCTGGTAATGTTTTTTTTTTTCAAAAATGTATTGCTGGTAATATTTAAAAAAATGTATTGCTGGTAATATTTTTTGTAAATGAATTGCTGGTAATATTTAAAAAAGATGTATTGCTGGTAATATTTTTTTCAAAAATGTATTGCTGGTAATATCTTTTTTCAAAAATATATTGCTGGTAATATTTTTTTCAAAAATGTGTTGCTGGTAATATTTTTTGTCAAAAATCTATAACTGGTAATATTTAAAAATATATATATTGTGGTTAATAATGTGCTGCTGGTAATAATTTTTTTCTTCAACAATGTATTGCTGGTAATAATTTTTCTAAAATGTATTGCTGGTATTAAAATCTATTTTTACACTTTCATAGTGTTAGAGGGTTAACTATTTGCCCATAGATGGGACCCTAACAGGTGCTACTACTTCAGTTCTGGGTGAACCTGGAAACACCAGCAATTAAGAGGTGGTTCTACGCTCCTCAAAACCCCCTGATCAGAGGCCTTTCTGTCGGATATAGTTTGTCGTCTTACCCAGGACGTCACAGCGGCTAAAATGTGATTATAACAACAAAGATGCGGACATTCATCCAAATGTAAATAATATAAATACTGATAACTCTTCATCTCAGATTGTAATTAAAGAACCAAGTTTTCGTGAAGTTCTTACTCATGTCCTTTTGCTTCAAGGATGTTTTGGTTCAGTGAAAGAATTGATCATCTTTGATAAGGTGTTTGATAGTTCCGAGATAACGTTACTGGTTCCGAAAAACAAATCTAGTTAAACCAAAAGAAATATTTTATCTGCTATTCTTTATAACATCTTACTCAGTGTGATATTTCGCGTTGGACTGAGTCTGAAACATAAATATTGTCTTTCTTTCTTCCATTTATTTCTATGTTTATATTTTCTCTAGACGGCTGTTACACAGATTCAACAGTTCCGACGATAACGATTAAATTCCAGGCCGATTCAACAAAGAATTGCATCGAATATTGCCGATTGCGGAACAAGCGCTATGCACTGCTTCTTTCTTTTGACAAATGCAGTTGCCAAGATCTTGTGAGCATAACTGCAACACCAGTCGAGACTAAAAGATGTCAGTTTAGAAACGTTACAAATGTCTACTTCGTGCGTATTATTGGTAAGATATTGATAAAATCAATCATATTACAGATGAAATAACTAAATGTAACCGTAAGTTCTATGCTAACAGTTTTTTGCATTGTATTTCTCGTTTGTAGAACTCTCTCCTGGCTTCTTGCTTTCCAGTCAACTTTTACCTTCAAAAATTTAAATGCAATGTCAGTTGTGATTTTATGTCGCCTTAATTTCTGTTCTTTTATTGTTCTTTTTGTTAATTGTTTTTTTTTTTCGTATTCTCTCAAAATCGGTAACCCCCTGCGCTTTAGAGTATTTATTGAATTTCTTAGGGTTAAATGATTTTTAAATAGGTCTTTTATAGAGTAGCATTTGCCGAAATTCAAAATACTTAGAAAACTGGTTTCTTTCTTTTGTTTTAATACTAATTTTCGGGCTTACGTTAATATCTCGTACGATCACTAAAGTTAAGAAACGTCGAGCTTGGTAAGTACTTAGTGAATGACCAATTGGGAATACCAGGTGCCGTAAGATTGGATGTGCGCGTGGTGTAACGAATAACGGCTCGGAATTGGAAATCTAAGAGTCGAGTTTCAATTCTAGTCAGTTTCGTTAGATTCACTTTCGCACAAATAGTATTGGGAAAGGTCTGAATCCGCCTCATCTTCCTCTCCCAGCTAGGAGTTAATTAGTAGAACTTGTATCAGTAAATAATTATCTACCCAAAATTCATACAGTCTAGAAATATTTCCTGGAGTTATACAACCTGCAAAAGTTTGATAAGCAGTAAAAAAAATACTAAATTTCAAACCACTATAAGACTCAAAATCTACGCAAGGCTTACAGTCAAAACGATAATAATGAATGAGGTGCGTGATATGAATAAAGGATAAAGTGCTGGGAAGTGAAGAGAGAGAGGATATGAAGAATAGATGATGCTTTGACCTGAAAAGGTTAAGATTTTAGTGTTCAGGGAAGTATCCACGTGGAACTTTTCTCCTTACATTTGGAACACAGAGAAAATGAGAGTGATTCAACTACATAGAAATATCATAACATCTAGCTCCACTGAACTGGTAGCTCACCTGAACACTTGGCTATGGAAATAGCCGTTTGTGGAAAGAGGCTACAGAGTGGAGAATAAGTCTGCGCAACCAATTTTCTCTATCAAGGGGTTAGACGGTGAGGGATGGACTACTCCAGCCCAGATATTTTAGAAATACTCCATGTTTGGTCTGACCTCATTTTTGTAAAGTTAGGTATTTTTCTTTAATCATTTCACCCTGAGCAAGGCGATAATTCCACTAAGACACAAGGAGTTACTATGACTGAAAGAGAATGAGTAAACTTTAGTGAGCTGAAAAGTACAATAAAAGAACAGGTTTCAGAAAAACAGAAGATGACGAGGGGCATTACATTTCATTTTTTGAGAATTGTAGGTGGCAGGGAAGCAAGAAACAGTAAAAGTGTTCCACAGGTGAGAAGTGCACGAAAATAAACTATTAGAATAGAACATACGTTTGTATCAGTAAAACGGTGAGACCTAGTTGCCAATCGAGTAGCACGCTTAAATTCATGTAGTCAGAGCGATATAATAAACCTATCATTATCCCAGAAACTTTAGCAATGGATCATGTATATGAGTGCCACTTGAGGTCTAGAGCGAACTCGAGACCGAATGTTTATTGCCGTACTATTTGTAGCCTAAGATATCAAGTTAAATTTCGCTTTAAGAGTAATTCTACTCCAAATAATGAAGCCTTCTTATGTACCGAATTCCATTAGGATGTAGAGGATCATGACTCTTCACAACTTTCTGTCCTTTGTAGATCTTAATAAATTTTATCTTTCTCTTATTACTCCTAAATCCTGTTCTGCCATCCATTTACTCAAGCTCACTAAGTATGTTATGCGTTGTTTTTCAATGTCCCTCTGTCTGTCCTCTGAGCATCAGATTTTCCAAGTCCTCTTTCCTCATTATGTGCCCTAAAAATTTCAACTATTTCTTCCTGATGGTAAGTATGTTTCATTTTTGTTTCCATTTCTTCTAAAACGTCATTGTTACTCACATGTTTGGTCCATGGAATCTGCAGCATCCTTCTGTAGAACCACATTTCTGTTGCTTCAAGTCTCTTCTTCATTTTTGAAGAGATTGTCCAGCATTCACTGGCATACAGGAGAACAAATATCACGTAACCGTTTAGTACTCTTTTCTATGTTTATAGCTAAGTTTTTCTATTTCTTAGTACTCTGCTTAGCTTTTTTGAAATGCATCTTAGCGATACGCCCTCGGATTTCAGTGTCGCACGTTCCGTCCTCTGTTAAAACACTTCCAAGACATTTAAATGTTTGTACTTGTTGAATTTTAGTATCTCCGATTCGCACTTCGCATATTGGGTCCATTCTTTTGCTAACAACCAAGCATTCTGTCTTCTTCCATTTGATGTTTAATCCTGTCTTCTAGCTTTTATTTACTACCTTCTGCCAATGACTAAATATACAGGAAAACTTACTTTTTAATCAGCCATCCGCTTAAAGAGCCATTATTAGGGAAAGATGAAACCTAAACATGTTTGCTACATCGAGGGACTTTTGAAAGCCCAGTGCTACTAAAATTTTAATTTCGGTAGTTACAACTTTTAGGCGCCATTTTAAAAAATCGTTTCACACCAAACAAGGCAATTTTTGTGATGTGGGGTCTGGCAAGACACAACACTGAATTCGAGCGACTCAGTCGTGATAGTAGTATTCAGTACTCAGCTAGACAAGTCATTGTAAAAGTATTATTTTTTTTCTCTAGACAATTACCCAAGGCTACTCATCATGAATGGATCAGTCCATTCATAGTAGTAAAGAGTGTAATTGGTTCTTGCTACATCTCTCTCTTTTTTTTTTAAAAACTAACTTCCTATGGAAGTTATACTTGTTCCTTATTCGGTTAAGAGTCAAGACTTTTGCAGGCTGTGTCTTCCTTTTTATGAGAGCGTGTGGTTTCTGGAGCTATCTGAGGCATAGATACATCGAAATAGTCATGCAGAAGCACCATCGGCTTCTCCGTTCGTCCCAGTACCTTTTTCTTATTTGATGTAGATGTCTTTTATACACCCATGTAAACCCCTTTTATCATGTACAATAACTTTCTGATACGTCTCTCGACGACACCATCTTCCCAGCATTCCTTTCCTTTTTTTTTGTAACTTCGAAAAAATACTTTTTCGCTGGATTTGAAGTATCTCTGGATATCGCATTTTTTTTTGTTCTCGATCTTTTTTTTTTATTTGGCAACAGTTTGTCAAACACCGATCTAATTTTCCTTGCGAACATTAGTTCTGCCAGGGACATACCGGATACAGTGTTAGGATTAGATGTCATCCGATATACACGTAAAAACTTCCATAATAACATATCCTTAGTTTCACCTACATTGTTTTTTTTTCCAGTGATCTTTTGAATGTATCGATGAAGCGTTCTACTTGATAATTCGATCTTGAATGGTTGGGATGAGGAGTTTTGAGATGTTGCATCGCAAAGGTTTTAAAAATCTTTCAAACTCTTTAGCAGTGAATTGCGTGGCTTTGTACGAAATAGTGGTACTCAGGATACCATAGCAAATAATTCATGCAAGAAGTTTATTGTTACTGTAGAAGTTGAACTCTTGCATTTTAAAATTTTGGTTACCGTGTTCACGCGTGGCTTCAGAAACGTAGTCACCACTCTGAGCCAGCCACAAACTGGATAGTGACTCACAAGCTTCAGGCACAGTGAAAAAGTAATTCAACGTGTGATAGTGGATGGAATTTCTGGGAATTGAGTCTTTGTTTTCATCGAAGCATGCCGTGCTCACTCCAAAGCTGCAAGCCCAGCACTCTGGCCCCAGCCTCTAGTCTCTCAGGGTCTTTGAAGTAAGTCCAAAATACGTGCTTACTCACCTACTCCGTAGAAACTATATTTTCGTTAACTTGAACATTGTTGATGTATGATGAAGTAGCCTTTCTAGTTGAGTCAGCTTGAGATAACACTATCAAATATTGACCTCATTATAAGTGGCACCACGTTGAGGCCGAAGCCAAGTCATGTAAGGCAATGTCTTTGTTCAGAAGCACAGTCTGAAAAGGTCACAGGGATCTGTGGATGTGCACTTGTAGATAGGTTTTCAAAGAGATTATCACCTTTCTGTCGCCATTCTCTCAGCTTGTACGGGCAGACCTCCGCGCTCGTCATAAAGTCCATAAATGCGTCGACGCGTTGGTTTAGCTTCCTATAATCTAGAACAGGGCGCACTTTATTTTTGTTTTCCTGGACGACAGCCATTAAGAGGATTAGAACCTGAGGTGGCCTGAACTCCTCTTCACAATACGACACCAACCAACCATAGACCAACCAGGCTTGCAGCTCACGATCATATTTCGTTCCCGCCAGTTTGGTCACATGGTACTCGGATATTTTGTTCTTCAGTACCTTTGGAGCCCGATTGTCCGCCCATTTTCATGCCGCAATCAATACTTTACTTGTGCGATCGAACTGAGTATTACAGTCCTTTTCGTTGATGGTGATGACTGCACACAGTGATGGTTTACTGTCGAGGAATGCCGCTGACCCTGATTGTATAATCGTAACATCTCCCAGTCCCTTAATTGTGTCGATTCTCTCGAGCCACCAAAACATCGATCTTGACAGGTCTGTTACCACATAGTTGAACGTCGACAACCCAACTTCTGACCATCGAGAGTTACTACACATACAGTCTTCTGTCCATTGATTGGGAGTAACCCGAGTCTACGAGTGCAATGCATGGTCATCAATCACTTTGAACTTCGATTACAGATAGTGCTGGATTTACATTCATAGCCTCAGCAGGGTTTCTCGCGACATATGGCCTACAGTCAGGCAACACAAACAGCACATGGCTCTGTGTAGACCTTGTTTTCACTCTTTATTCTCGCTTTCTGATGTCTCAAGCAGTCTCTTGCCACGTGGTTTGGGCCGTTGCACTACTGTCGAACCCCCGTCCATTACGACATCTTTCATGATTGCTTGTGTATTAACCTCATCTTTCATCACTGCTGGCGGCAAGTAGATGGTCAGAGCGTCCATGAGCGAAGCTGCTTCACTCGGTCTAGCAACTCCGCCACGAATGCACCCGCCAAATTGCGGTCAGTCGTACCGCCGAGCAGAACTGAGAGTTTCCGTAAGTCTTCCAGATACACATCGGGACACGCCGTGTCGTAGTCACTTTGCTATAAATTGTTCGTACGCTACGAGCAAATTCGTTGCAATGTCGTATACAAGACACTTTTAATTTTTTCCGCGCTCGTCTTCTCCTCGTCGCCTAATTGTTGGTAGATGACAAACACCGCTCATGATAGCCTCAAAAGAAAAACGTACTCAGGCCTTTTCACGCCGCACATCCTGAAAACGAGCTCTGCTTTTTTTTTACCTAACTCAGCTACGGATGGAGCAGTTGTTGATCTGTAGCGGTACCCCGAGCGCCCCAGTATCACACAAGGGTGAATGAGGTCACAAGAGGCCCGCTAACATTTTTGAAGACGTTAAATCTGACGGTGAAACAATATAGACGACAGAACGAGGATATATATGATATATGCTAATTTATTCTAGAAAAAGAAATAAAAGTGGTCGGACGGTAGAGACGCAGAAATTCTAGTGCAGGCATTGATGGTCGAGGTTGGTGTTGGTAGTTGCCAGGATGATCGCTGTTGGTTGTTGGAGTTGATGTTGGTTGTTGGCAGGATGATCACTGTTGGTTGTTGAAGTTTGGTGTTGGTTGTTGTAGTTGGTCGTTGCCGGGTTGCTAACTTGACGTGTTGGGAAGGAAAGAAGAGCTGGCGTTGTTCGGGCATGTCACAGGTCCAGTGCAGGCGTTGCGTGTTTGCCGGTCGAGTCCGATATTAGTAACCTCCCGTATTAATTACTAACATAGTGTACGGGAAAGGTTAAGGACGACGTGCGGGCAGCCAGTAGGGACGGAATGCCGATAGTCAAACAGGAGCCAAGAATAGTAGGCGAAGGAGAGAGAGAAAGGAAAGTTTCCAACTATCGTCAAGTTGGCAGACAAAAAAATGTGGGAGCGTAACTTAATACGCAGCCCGTTGATTGACGTTCCTGGCCGCGAAGGCCAGTGCCTGCGTATCCGACCGTTTCAGTCGCCCCCCACGAATTTAGTGAGAAGCCACTGTTATGTGGTAAGGGAGACCAGCAAGTCAATTGGATAAGCTAACAGTAAATAATAAAATACGTCGAGGTTAGCTAAAGAGAACTATGGCCTAAAAATGTCTAGAAGTATATTACAACAAGGTTTGTAATATAACTTAACTAAAAAGGGGACTTGCTAGTTTCTACCACAGTTTAACAGTGTATAGGAGGCACAAACGAGAGGTCAAGGTTGAAATGACCTGTTCCTCTGCCGGTTTAAGGATCGAAGGAGGAGGTAACTCCGACAGATCCATTAAATTCAGGGATCAGCTTCAGCTCAAATTTGCCGTCCATTTTCGTTGGTGCTGAAACAGTTTATATCGAAACTGAAAATTTTTTACTTTTACACACTAACTGTTGCTACCACACCAACGACTACGAAACGCAGTCCTTTAACAAATCGTACTGTGTACAAGTTTTCCTCTTCTAGTAAAAGTCACAGCCTATTTTCTCTGAAAAAATGGATTTTCATATGTTTATTGGGGTAAAAGTATGTAAAATGAAAAAAATGATTTATCATCTGAACAAAATATCAAGGAAAGTTTATCTGAATCCCATGAAACTAGGTATTTTCTGAAAGCAAACATTATGATCTTTCATTTAATAATAATAATAAAAATGAAAATACAATGCTGCACACATATTTCACCAGGAACAATTTGCTAAAATAAGGGCCGTATACAGCGGAGAACAACCCTTAAATACTAGACAGAAACTCAATCCACGTGACGTTTTTTTATTGCACGCATGATACTTCCGGTCTTCCGTAGATTTCATTGGCAAACAAATTATTGACACAAATTAAATTTTTTAATATAAGTGCGGTCGTTAGTTTGTAAGAAGCTTTGGAAATTATAATCTGTAAATATATATCTACTTAATAACAACATTCGTTAAGTTCTACAAACTTTTCCCTAATTTTAGAAGAATTAGCAACATAATGTAAAAAATAATAAAAAAATATTTCAGAAATAACAAATAATTGTTTTAAAAATTCATTTTTTCATCGAAATATCTTTTTGCTTTCATGTTCATCAAAATAAATAAAAGCAATTAAAAGCTTTTGAAATTAAATAATATTTTTGTTTTATTGAGTTTTGTATGTTACAATTCAGATACGATTTTCAAGTAGAGTTGGTCCAACTAAAAAAAAAAAACATGATTTGGTTTCCTCAAATATATATATATTATTCTAATATAATCACTATCCTCCTCAAAATTGAAATTATAGAGTTTTCGTACAATTAGTTAGGTGGGGGGTAATACATATGAAAAAAATATTTCTGCCATGACATTAATAAAAAAAAAATATATATTTATAATAAGTTCTATCATTTGTGAAAGTTTCATTAAAATCCGACAATTATTTTTATTTTTGCAAGATTTTCCAAATTAATGTGTATCAAACAAAACAAAAAAACGTGCTAAAAATTTTGTTATTTTACTAGTTCCGGTGATACAAAGAGAAACAAGTTTTTTTTTATCAAAATTTAGAATGTTCTAAAAAGAAGGAAATAATTTTTAAAATAATTAAAAAATACTTTGATCTTTCCTCTCAATAATAACATAAGCATTTAGACGCTAAAATTTTGTTTTCGTGAAGTTTGTTGTCTTTTTCATCAAGCTATGCTCTTATTTTTTCAGGATTTTGTGGAGGTACCTAAGTTTACTCGAAGAGACGTTCATACGAACGAAGAAAAAAAATAAAGGCATAAGATAGAAATGTTACTGATACTTTCAGTTTTATTGTTTTTGTTTTCTATTATTTAATCTTGTTGTTTGTAGATCTGGAAAAGTTTTACGCCAGCTGCCAAGATCTTTACAAAGCCGGAGTGCACTATCACGGAGATTATGTTCTGGGCAAGAATCGTAAATTAACTACATGCAATTTTAAAGGTAACATTTTAATTCTATTTTTTAAAACGCTTCAATCATCTCTTCACATAGTTATTACATGTGTGCAAAGGTTTCCAGTTTTTATTTGTCTTATAATTTTAGTAAATCATTATTATCTTCAAAGAATTCTACAATCTAAACATATTTTCTGGCTTTAAATAACTTGCAAAAGGTTGATAAATCGTAAAAAACAAATCAATCAACCAATAACTTATTTTCTACTGTGTATTCAGTTCAAATTTTTGAAGTGGAAACTTTTGCAGCCACGTAGTTCGTCATGTCTCTCATTAAGCGGCATCAAGAGGGTTTAGTTAACTAATTTTTATCATTTCACCCGAAGCAAAGCAATTGAGCCGATAAGACGCGAGAGGTTACTGAGTGCGAGAGAATATGAGAAAAAGAAGACATTATTAAGGACAGAGAACAATAAAAGAACAGGAATTAAGAAGTCAATAGATGACGATTGACATTACATTTGAAATTTTCGAAGATCAAATTTAAGTAGAAAGCAAGAAGCCGAGAGAGTGTTCCACAAGTGAGAAGTGGAGAGAAGAAACGGTTAGCGTAGAACTTACAGTTACATCTAGCCATTTCAAGTGTAAGATGATAAAGTATTGCAACTAATCTAGTAGTAAGCTTAAATCCATAAAGTCTAGGTACCAAAGAGGAAAGTTCACTAGAATAATTAACATGAAAATATTTATAGAAAAGGCACAGGGAAGCTACGTTATAGCGGTGGGAAAGTGACTGAAACCTAAATGCTATGTGAGGACCAATAACATTGCAGATTCTTTGTATTTTATCAAGAATGGCAGAATCACCAGACCAGATGTGACAACAATATTCAATTCATGGGCGAATGATAGACTTATAAATGTGCAAGATAAATGATAAATGCGAGAGAAGAAACTGTTAACATAAAAACTTACGGTTACATCTAGCTATTTCAACTATAAAATAGCGAGACATATCCGCCAATCTAGCAGTGTGCGTAAATTCGTAAATTCTAGGTACTAAAGTATAAAGCTAATCAGAAAAATTACCATGAAAATGTTTATAGAAAAGTCACAGGGAAGCTATGTTACGGCAGTGGAAAAGTGACTGAAGTCGAGTTGCCAGGTCAGGACAGATAACATTTTAAATTCTACTTTATATCAAGGATCTCTAAGTACATAGCAGGAATACCAGGCCAGATGTGGCAGCATTATTCAATGCATGAAAGAATGGTAGACTTAGAAATGTGTAAGATAGATTATGGCGACCTAAATTGTTTTTCACGACCCACTGAACCAATAGCATCTTTCCACTTCATGTCAGCGGGAAACGTTAGTCCGAGAAGTCGCAAGGAGTCACGCTCTTGGAGATTAGCATCAGCAGCCAAGTTGATAGAAAGCAAAAACGGTTCTCGCAGACAATTAAAAGAGGTTTAAAAAAGATGCATAAGAAAGAGCCTTTTCCATTTTACTTTCACAGTTGTCATTTAAAACATTTTTTTTTATCATACCTAGGCCATTTTGGTTTATTGATCTAACTGTAGAACGAAGAAAATAAGTAATATTTACGGTATGTGCATTTTAAGTAGAGTAAAAATGTAGGCACGGTGGAGCTATGGATAGCGGCTCGGATTGAGAAATCGGAGAGCCGAGTTCGAATTCCAGTCGAGCTTGGGAAAGGTATGAATCCTCTTCTTCTCCCCTCAGCTATGGGTAAATAGCAGGACAGACCGCCTTCTATAGCCTTGGATGGCAACTGGTCTACCGCAGAAAGAAATGGCAACCTATTGCGGGAAAAAATCTGCTACGTTATTCATGTATCGAAAGATACATGATCACCTAAGCGTGTATCACGCATGGCACATAACTGAAAAATGTACGACGAATATCTGTGTAGTTAATGGAGAAGGTACTGGGAATACCCAAACGTGTCAAAAGTGATTTGCTAATTTCGTGTTGATGAGTTCTCCCTGAATGATGTTTCAAGATCACCTGCTTCTTAGGTAATCAGGCGAAAATTGTTAAAACTTGGTTGGGAGATTTAGTTTTTACAAAATTATCTTAAGGAAGGAAGTTTAATTCCGCTGAAAACCGCAAAGACACGTAGAGAATTTGATTGTAGCGAAAGATAAAAAGTTATGTGAATATTGAATTATGAAGTTGATTGAAAGATGGCACAGGCACTTGAACAAAAAGGTAAACATATTATTCATTAAAGCAGATGTCGATAAAAATCTTGTTGAATAAGTTAACTTGACTGCTAAGGGTTATCTTGACTGCTAAGGATTATCTTGACTGCTAAGGATTATCTTGACTGCTAAGGTTTATCAGCGCGAAAAGTGGAATTGGAGAGCCGAGTTCAACTTTTAACCGAGTCTCTTACCTTCACTCTGCACTAATGCTATTGGGGAAAGCATGAAACTATCTCTTCTTCCCCCGCCCCAGTGGTGTCTTAAATAGAATATACTGCGCTTGGGCCTTAGGTAGAAGCCAGTCTAGGAGAGCAGCAACGTCTAATTTTGTGGAGAAGGCAATGGAAAACTGTCCTACTATTTTCTTAATAAGTCACGGCAATTCACAAATAATAAAGAAAAGAAATCTTCACAAAGAGGTTTTAAGTTGTACTCCTAGACTGGTTTCCACCCCAGGATAGATAGCCCAGTCTAAACTGCTATTTAATCCGTATTGGGGGAGAAGAGATGTATTCATGCCTTCCACAACGGACTAGACCGAAATTTGCATTCGATACTTTAATAATCGTTACAATGCTAGTACGTCTTTCGATCACGCTATCATTACACCGCAAATAATCTCTAACGAAAATTGCGAATTTTATAAGTACGTTGCTGTATTTTGGAGGGAGTAATTTTCTTTATTTTTTACTGTTATCTTTTTAAAGTTTGGCAAATCTGAGAGAAACTAAATATTAAAAACTTTGAATTCAGCTGTTATTTGAGTGTATTTTTAATGGATAATTTATGTGAGCAATTGATACTCGAGAAATGAGTTACTCAATGAGTAGAAGAAGAGGCCAGTTTCTAAAGTTATTAATATTAAATGAGTCAATCTGGACAAAAACATATTCGACATTTTACCTGCGTTTTATTCTCTATCAGCATAGTACCCGTCAGAAATGACAGTATTATGTATAGATCAGAACTTCTATCTCAAATCAGTGTGCTTGAACTCTCTGCCTCGGATCTGGGTTTTTATATGTAAATTAGGTTTAGAGTGCTGTTCAAACATCAGAACACTGGCGTAATGGATATAGCTCTTTCCTGTTTTTCTTTATAGCGGAAGTTCGAATCAGACTAGGATTCAGTTATTTTATTTATTTCTCTATTTACTTAAGCGTGTACGTGGTGTAATCATTAGAGGCTCGAATTGAGAACTAGGAGAGCCGAAGTCTAATTTCAGCTGAGTTTTTGCATCCATCTTCGCGCAAATACCCTTGGGAAATGTATGAATCCATTTCTTCTCTTCTAGTTATGGGTTAAATATCAGGAAAGACTGTGCTCTTTAGCCATGGTTGGTAATAATTCGAGGAGGAGAACTCAAAATTCGAAGCCGTGTGTAGCCATGACGTAACGCATTGACAAGATTATAGAGTTTTTAATCTCGTCTGTGATCGACTTGCAATTGTATCGATGTATTATTATTATTGGTTTAGCGTGGCAGAAGTTACGAAGCATTCAGAAAAACTCACGTCATCTTACTTATTATAAAACCCAGGTTGTGTGTGTGTGTGTGTGTGTGTGTCTGTAACGTTTATATATTGGATCGGATTTCCTACATTTTTCAACCGATTTCAACAAAACTTCACAGAACTACGTAAAATTACCTCGCGGTGGTTCTGACAGCGCCAAAAATTGGAAAAAACACAATTGTTTTTGCACGAAATCAATTTGAAAACATGATTAAGAGGCATTAATGAAAGGGGGACAACTAATATCGAGTTATACTTATTAATATCGAGTTATCGAGTTATACTTATTATAAAACACATGTTGGTTGTTTGTGTGTGTGTATGTGTGTTCGTTTATATATGGGATCGGATTTCCTACATTTTTCAACCGATTTCAACAAAACTTCACTTTTTTTTGGCAGGTAGTGTTTCTTATTGCCTTGCATATTTTTTTCTTTATTTTTACATTCAGAATGCTTTAAAAATTCCATTTACAAGACAATTGTTTATAATAAAATTCTATTTAATCGGTAGACTCATAACGACTGAAAACAATGTTTTTGTTTGAGTTTGGGTTTGACCAATTCGTAAAATAAATAAATAAATAAAACTAATTAAGACATGCGTGTCCGTCAACCTTAAACAATAATCTTTGTCAATTTTATTTTTCAGTCTTTATGATGGTCGATACTTGATCTATCTCTTGCTGTTACATCCCCGGGCAACGCCGGGCTCTACTGCTAGTTATTATATATAATTCTGTCATTATTCTTTATGTTGTTTCTAATCTCTCCCAGATGGAACCATCTGCGATCATCAGTGGATTGGCTACAAAGGAGCGTGTTATCATTTCAATAGCGGCAACAAAACATTCCAGGATAGTCTCAGCTACTGTGCAAGTCTAAATTCAGACCTTGCGTCAATCCATGATAGAGATGAAGTGGATTTTCTTAAACAAACTATAACAGGTATACAACGTTATTAGTATTTTAACATACTAGTGAATTAAAGCGTCAGTTCTTGAATTTGGTGACATAGTAATTGTGATTCGTAAATTTGGTGATACAGTATTTGTGAGTTCAGTCGCTGGGCCGGACAGTGTTTACTTGGACTCAGTGGAAACGAGGTGAGTAATAACTGAGCAAGACTAAAATAAGAACTAAGACATGGGCAGTGGAACAAGAAAAATCTACCGTCGTAGATTAAATAAAGGGTTCAGTTCGAAATTTCTTGTAGGTTATCCGGATTGACATACATCCGATGAAGTCCGGAAGGCACAACGGCCGAAACAACAAAGATGAGGATGATAGTCCGCATGTAAATAATGTAAATACTACTATTTTTATACTCATTTTTGTTGGTAAGATATAATATTTCAACATTTTTAAAAAGGAAAACGTACAACTGTATCAGGTTTTACTTCTTGCACTTCTATGTTCCGTCAGCGCGTAGGCGACAATGGTTCTCCACAAATTCCTGTCAGTTGCAGCTTCCAGCAAGCTTTGTTTATTTGCCATCCTTCTCGATCCCTTCTCTGCCAACCATTCAAACAATCTCGTTAGATAGGTTGTTACGCATTTTTTCTCTGTACCTCTTGCATTCAATATGTCCGCTGAGTGCCAAAATCGCCAAAACCTCTTTCCTAATTATTTACCCTAGAAATTTCAGTTGTTTCTTACTGATTCTAAGTAATTGTCCTTTTTGTTACCATTTTTCGTAAAACTTTGTATTGCATAGCCCCCTCGTTCTGGGGGGGGGGAGGTCTTGGTTGACGGGGTCGATTCCCTAACGTTGTATCATCTCTCGCTCGTCTTTTCCCGGCCGGGTGTCAAAATGTTTATGGAGTCCGGAGATGAATGAAAAATCAAGAAAAGAGATTTTAAACTTATCTATTTTATTAAACACGTCGACGTGTACATTTTTTAACTAGCCATTGGGATCGCTTTATCACCCCCACTGGGGAGCAAGTTTCTGTCTTTTTGACATTTCCACACTAGTTTTAAGCAATCAAAAATGACTTCTTCTGTTTTTCTGTATCTGACATCAAAGGTTAAAATGAGGAAAATACAATTCTCTGAAAAATAATAGTCTGCTAGACTATTATTTATTATTTGTCTTTACTCACATGTTCAGTCCCTGGTATTCTCAGCATCCTTCATTCCTGTTGCCTCAAGCATCTTTATATGTGAGGTGATTGTCCGGTACTCACTGTCATAAAAGAGGATTGATGTTACATAACAGTTCACATATCTTTGTTTCTCACGATTTTTTTCCGTTTCTTAATACTTTGCTCATCTTCTCTATTCAAATGGACCATCAATTTTCGGTGTCACTTTTTCATTGTTAAAACACATCTTAGATATTTACATTTTCATACTTGCTTGATTTTGGTGTCTCCAATTCGTCATTAGCATCTTGGACTGTTTCATTTGTTGACAACTACACATTTCGTATTCTTACAATTGATTTTTAGTCCTTCTCGTTTTTCTTTATTAACTTTTGTAGTTCTTGTAGATTACTTTCTGTGTCTACTATTAACATTAAACCAAAAAAGCCTCAAATACTAGAAAGAAATCTAAGATAGACTTAGAGACTGTAAAGATTGCTTTACATCAACTTAAATTTCAAACCATTTGTAAGTGAAAACCGGTAAATATAATCAGTTTATTTTTCAAAACGTTTAATGTTTGAAAAATGATCACCTTAAAAGCAGTGAGTACCTTTCAAATACAGTTTATGATTTTGACAGTTTAATGATTTTATTATTGCAAGAGTTCTTCAGCCTATTGAATTTCTTATTTCTATTGCTTACGTTGTTACTATTTGAAGACGGCTGTGGAAGACATCGGTCTAAATACTGTGCTAACGGCATAAGCAATACAAAAAGTGTGTTTTATAGTCAGAACAGCCCTTACAGAATGTGTAAGTGTTTCACTAAATAATAGCACCTCCCGTACAGTAATGGTTAAGAAGCAGGTCTTGGGGTGACACGAAAATATTCTAGTGAACAACCTCTCTCTCTCTCTCTCTCTCTCCCTCTCTCTCTCTCTCTCTCTCTCTCTCTCTCTCAAATGTTTTGACCCACCCTCTGGATTTAATTATTTCCATATTTCATATCTACTTTGGTTTAATTATTTCCCATTAAGCTACGATACTGAAATTATTTAAACCATTAATACATGCCTTCTGTTGTGTTATAGGGGTTACCGAAAATTTTAAATCCGCTGGCCGAAAATTGGCATTAGCCAGTAAGATAAGTTAGCAAAAAAATATGTAAAGCTTTATGTAGCAATTGGTAAATTTCGTTATCATTATTATTGAATAGATTATAAAACCCCTTCATGAAGAGAAAGTTCTTTCTGACCGGAAGTGAGCTAGTAATTTAGTTTTAAAAAACGTTCAATTTTAAGATATTGTTTGTCATTATATATATATATATAGAGAGAGAGAGAGATGGGGGATAATACTGAAAACCTATCTAACACAAGATTATCCAATATTGAACAAGAAATGTTAATTACCCTCTCCAAGTTCTCCACTGCATTAACAGGGTATTGGACTCACAGTCTTTGTGTCCTGTCACTGGATCTAACCAACGCCTTTATCCACTGTGCCATGAGTCCTTGAGGACATCTGTGCATGAATTTCTGGGCATTATAAACCGAATGTCTCAGCATCATTTTTTTAGTAGTGCTCATATTGCAATATTTGCTGTTATCATTGCATGTTGCATGTTGTATGAGCTCTGATAAAAACAGTCTACCCCAGTGAGCGAAATAAAGGGTTCAGTTCGACATTACAATCACCCAAAGAAGACCGGAGCGTACAACGGCCTAAACGTTGTATTAAATATGGCGACAAAGATGAGGACAATAATCCGAATAATGTAAATAGTGAACTTATGTCTGTGGCCGATTCAACGTGGCCGATTCAACGTGGCCGATTCGACGTGGAATTTTTCGGAAGAGGACGATTAAGCGACAGATTACTACTTCGTCGTTATAGTCAAATTTGCTATCTCTCTCTGTCTCTCTTTTTCTCGTTTAGTAGTTAAATTAGTACTTCGTCCAATTTAAGTAAAAGAGTAGTTGTAGGTATTTTTATATTATATTTCTTTCAATGCAGCTTCATATTTTCAGTCCAGTCGTCAAACCCCCTTTTATTCCAAATGCAAGCAAATATTTAATCAAAACGTGGAAGAAACAAAGTCATACACGATGGATACCTTTTTATTGTTATATTGTTTTATTTTATTGCTTTACTAAGTTTTTTAATTTTTTTTTTTAAATACAATATTTTAAATTTAAGTTTTTAATTTACATTATTCCATTAATGTTTTAATAGGATCCTTAATTCTCTAAATGAATAAAAGTCATATTGAAAGTTGGGTGTTTTATCCTGGGGCGGGTGGCTCAGATCAAAGACAGTGGCATCGAAACAGTCTGACATCTAAACGGCTGTGTCGAATAGTCCAATTATTTTTCTGACGCCGAATCAGCCACGTCAAATGGGCGACGCCGAACGTACCAAACCCGGCTAGATTAGATATCAAATCCCTTCGCACAAGCCTACCTATTAACGTGTGTGTGTGTGTGTATGTTTGTGTGTGTGTGTGTATGTTTGTGTGTGTGTGCGTGTGTGTGTGTATGGAAGAGTTCAGTACATAGAAATGGGCGAATTGACCCCCTCTATTTTCTGGATTCATCCGATGACTTAGTAGAAATATAATTTTCTGCTATTTTACATTTTACAATTTTAGGTTGTAGATAAATGGATAATAATTTTGCAATTGCATTGAACTAATAAAAATGTAAAGATTTGTGTCATTTTTTTTTCAACGGAACTGGTAAAATAGTACTTAAATCAATAAATGATAATTCCGACTAAATAAAGGATAATTCTCTCCACAAAAAATAAACAAATGATAATCATTCAAAATAAATGATAATCCCAGATAAATGATAATCTCCTCAAAAACTAATGATAATACCTAAAATAAATAAAATGATAATCCTGTAAAATAAATAATAATCCAAAAAATAAATGAAAATGACAAATAGATATTTATCTCCGAAAGTAAATGATAATCCCAAATAAAAAATAATTCTAAAGTTTTAGGTTTTGTAAATATCGAGGATTTAGCTTAGTGAGGGCTTATATTATCACTTAAGAGAATTACACCATTTGTATATTCTCACTCGAGAAAATTATATCATTTGTATATTCTCAGACGATAGAATTACAACATTTGTATATTCTCACACGATAGAATTACATCATTTGTATATTCTCACTCAAGAGAATTACACCATTTGTATATTTTCACTCAAGACAATTAGACCATTTGTATATTCTCACACGATAGAATTACACCATTTGTATATTTTCACTTGAGAGAATTACACAATTTGTATATTCTCACACGACAGAATTACACCAATTTTATATTCCCACTCGAGAGAATTACACCATTTGTATATTCTCACTCGAGAGAATTACACCATCTGTTTTATATTTTTATAAACTTTTAAAGTAAATCAAAATAAACGTTGAATTCTTAACCAACAAAATCCCAGGTCATGCTAATGATAATATCAGACGTTTCCTTATAAGGAAACATTCGACATTTTTGATCGAGCAGCCAATCTTACTTTTGGTTGAACATTATAAAATCTTTGGCTTAAAAATCTTTCAGAAGAATATATTTCTCCCATCCAGCAGCTGTTATCGCTTTTTCATGGAGGTTTCCTTCCTAACCTTTTGTTTGAAGTGGCGTGGAACGTCAACATCTTGATTATTTCATTATTTTCTTTTCGAGTTAGATGTGATATCCATATTAGTTGTTGCTGTTGTTGAAAATCATCAGGAAATGCGTTTTCTGTTATTTGATACAGTTCTTTTGTTTGTGATTCTGTAGCGCCAGACCACGTGGTTCGAAGAAGTATAGTCCACCTACAAGCTTCATTTACTCGAAGTCATTTTTAAACATTGATTTGGGAAAGCGACCGTAGTATTCATAGTTAATCTACGGATGGTGATTTAAATAACTTTTCTAGTTTAACGTCATTATCGCTGATATTGTGTGCAGTGATAGTGTCAAACTACATCAACATGTTGCAGCAAGAATCCAACTATCCTGACAACAGTTAGTATCATAGAAACAATAGTTGAGTCGTATACAAAGCTTTCATTACATTTCCTTACACGCTTGAGTTATCTTTTTATGTTTGAGAAGCAACGCATTGCGGAAAGAGGTTCATGATGACTGTGTTTTAGATCCACATTTCAATCCAGCACAATCAAAATTTCAAGCCTTCTTGATCTGATGAATAGGTGAAGCTGTGGTAGAAACAAAGGCAACTTCAAATTAAGAATTACTTTCATTGAAAAGACAAAGGGAGGTCATTATTTAAAACGTGAAACTTGTAATGAAATCTTTATTAAATTTCTTAATTTAGTTTTCTGCTAAGACTTCCTTTCTCTTCAATTATAAACACATATTTGTCACTTCTATTGTAAAATGTAAGAAATGAATGGTGTTATTTTCTGTCGTCATAATTTTATTCGAAAAAAATTGATCTTGTAGTGTTCTTTTGTAATATATATTTTTTACATGATTTTGCTTTGGTTAATTCCCAAAAGTTCTTTTTCAATGTACCTGCAGTTTGTACACATGCAAACATATTGTTGCTTACTAAACATTTCTTAGATTGACACAAGGAGAAATGTCTTACGCCAATATTTACCTTGCAGAGAGCAGTTAAAATCATGCTTTTGGATTGGATAGGCTCGAAAAACGACCGCTAATGCCAATGGGCAATTTGTATGCAACTCAATCAGAGAACAGATCTTGCTTGCTTTTCAGATCTGACACGAATACACTGTAGTAGACTATTCGGTGAGGATTAATCTCTTTCCGGTAACGAAGGGGTTACAAGTAAAATTAGCTACAGTAGGAAACTAAAATAAACAAACTTAATTTCTAGGGATATATACAATTAACAAATCTAACAGTTTTTAGATGAAAGTGGGTAACAAAGTCTTGTTACTAATAACTTTACTTGTAGCAAAGTCATTGTTACTTGTAACAAAGTCTTCTTTACTTGCTAGTCAGCAAGACATATATATAAACGTAACAAGACTATATTGACATATGTATAAACGTATAATACTCAATATGAATACAATACATATGTACTATGAAAATCAAAAAAGTACATCTGTTTAATATTTAATTATGCAATTTTTCAGGTTATTAAAAATTTAATTTACTGTTGCCAAAAAAATGTACACTCCATTATTTACGTATATTTCATCTTCATTATGATCTGCCTCCTCCATCTTTTATCGATTTGTGATCTTCATTGTAATTTCCATATAAGATCTGTCTCCTCTATGGTTTATCAGAGTGCGATTCGTATTGTAATTTCTACGACTTGTCTCCTTCATGGTTTATTGACTTGTGATCTTAATTATGATCTGCCTCCTTCATCTTTTATCGATTTGTGATCTTCATTGCAATTTACACATACGATATGACTCCTCCATCGTTTATCGAATTGTGAACGTCATTGTGATTTCCATATATGATCTACCTCCTCCATGGTTTATCGACTTGTGATATCCATTGTTATTTCCGTCTATGAGCTGTCTCCTCTGTCTTTTATTGACTTGTGATTTTCATTGTAATTTCCATATATGATCCGTCTCCTCCATCGTTTATCGACTGGTGTTCGCCATTGTGATTTCCATATATCATTGCCTCCTCCATCGTTTATCAAGTTGTGATCTTTATTGTAATTTCTATATATGATCTGCCTACGCCATCTTTTATCGACTTAAGATCTTCATTGTAATTTCCATATATGATCTGTCTCCCCCATCATTTATTGACTTGTGATATTCATTCTGATTTCTATATTTGCTGTCTCTCCTACATCGTTAACCACATGTGATCTTCATTTTAATTTACATATATGTTCTGTCTCCTCCATGGTTTGTCAACTTGAACTTGATTGTAATTTCCATATATAATCTGTCTCCTCCACCTTTTATCTTCTTGTGATCAGCATTGTGATTTCCATATATAAACTGTATCCTCTATGGTTTATTAACATGCGATCTTCATTGTAATTTGTACATACGATCTGTCGCCTCCATTGTTTATCTACTTTGATTGTCATTGTAATTTCCATATATGTTCTGTCTTCTCCACCGTTTATCAACTTGTGATATTCATTGTAATTTCCGTATATGAGCTGTCTCCTCATCCTTTTATTGAGTAGTCGTCATTTTCATTGTGATTTCCATAATCTGCCTTCTCTATCATTTATCGACTTTTGATCATCATTGTAATATCTCTGTATGAGCTGTCTCAACAATTGTTTATTAAATTGTTATTTACAAAATACATAATTGGTAATTAGTGTTATATTAATTCTAAAAATAGTAAGCTTTTCAGAAGTAGCACTAAATGAAATCTATGCATTATTCTTACTATGATTTTAATTGGATGTTGATTCATTATTTACCAAATTGGAACTGATCATATTTGAATATATGTATCACCCTACATTTACATTTTATATTTCATTATTATGGATTATGGCCAAGTACATCTGCTGATAGTCTGCATAATCTAGGTAAAAATTAGACTACGGTATGCTTCACTTTTACATATAAAAGCAGAATACGTTTTTGAGATATTTTTTATAATAAGCGTATTTTTTTTATTTTTTTTTTGCATATCATGATTAAAAACACAGCAATCTGTCTGATATATGAAATAATTGTGATTAAAAGGAATTATTTGCTTTTTTCAGAATTCCAGGATTTGAAACAACAACCAAATTGGTATATTGGACTTTATGACAGTTTACAGTCAAGCAATTATCTTTGGTCTGATGGAACGCTGAAAGTATTTAATGACTTCATTCAAGAACGTCCATCGAAGAACTACTGGCAGTGTGTACATTTAATGGCAAATGGATGGACAGATACACCATGTTGGGTTCCCGCAGGTGTAATTTGCAAAAAGAAACAAAGTAAATGTTTGGAATTTAAATTAGCGATAGCTGGTGTTAAGTTTCTTAAATACATGTCGGTGACCCTAGTCGTAACTTCTGTAGGGAAAGATATTTGTCCAAACATTTATAATAAAGACAGCCAGGGAGAAGTCAGAAGAATGTAAATGACTGTTTCATTTTTTAAAAGGAGAACATGTTAGCAAAGTTTATAAATGTATTATATGCCTTTTCTCCGACTCGGAAAAGAAAAGCTAGCGAATATAGCAAACGTTTGTTTTTACTTACACGTCTAGTAAGTCATGTTGCAAGAGTCCGTATTTTATATACGTGTTCAGCAAATATCTTCTGCATGCTACCACTACCATTTTAAGAATTCAAACATACACACAGGCAAATACAGAACACAAGAAAACAAGACATACATACATACATACATACTTACAATAAAATTTTATATTAAAGAATAAAAAAATTAAGATAAAATGAATTATCTATTTTTAACTTTAAAGATGAGTTAAATCAAATTATATGGAAAAACCATACCAAGTTAAATTTAAAAAAACATTTTAAAAAATATATATTTCTTCAAAAAAGTTTGTATTGTTTTTTTTTAAATATAACTCCGTATGTTTTTTTTAATATAAGTTGATTTAACATAACTTTAAAGTTAAAAATGGATAATTTATTTATTTTATCTTAATTTTTTTTATTCTTTAATATAACATTTTTTAAATTATATTCTTACTTAAATTTAATATAATTTATCTAAATGTGATTTACTGTTAATCTTTTCAATATATCTCATTTTAAAGTATAATTTGTTATTTTTCGAGTAGGAACTAAACTTTTTTTATATAATTATTTTTTTTTATATAAAACTCCCATTTTATCTCTCTTTTAGTTTTATTTAACATTTCATTCTTCATACAACTCCAATTTAACGTCAAAAGGTCAATATCCGAGTTTATTTTTATAAAACCTCTTCCCTTTAAGGCTTATGCATTCAACCCTCCCCTTACCACCGACTCGGGCATTTCATCTGACTGAAATATCGAAATAGATAAAGACTATCAATTTTTCGACTGCTGTCAAAGTTAAATTTAAAATTTCTACTTCCGATAAGAACAGTCTGTACACCGGGGTTGAATAAGACTATCGTACTTTTCGTCAGTTGAAATACGCCACCCTCCCACCATATGATGTAAATTTGGATTCTGTCGTGTGATTTATATGCTCTGTTATAATAAATACATTGAGTTCTTTCTGTGGATCAGCTTTAATATTTGATATTACTAGGATCCACTTGAATTATATACGAACGGATTTACTACCTGTAATATATATATATATATATATATATATATATATATATATATATATATATATATATATATACTTTATTTTAGGATATTACAACAGCATGCAAATAAACGTTACATAAATGCAATCATATTTCGATGTGTACCAACACGTCTCAACAATTCATCAGGCGTTAGTAAACCTCGATTCGTTCTCTTTTCATTTATATATATATATATATATATATATATATATATATATATATATATATATATATATATATATATACTCAGTCTTTTATTCTGAATTAAGAATGAAAAATTGAAGAATGACTAGAAACAAACAAAAACCGTGGTAAAAAATCAAGAATATTTTTTTAAACTTTCTATACATTTATTAATTTTTTAAGAAAATAAAAAGATATTTTCATTTATTCCTATTTACTTTAGAATCTTTAGAAATAAATAATAAGCAAAAATTCTTTTTTATATTTTTTTATAAATAAAATTTCATATTATGCAAAATGTCTGCCAATTAAAAGCAATTTATTAACAACTCTTTGACATTGTTATAGTAACACAAATCGTAGAGTGTTACATTTAATTATCTCAAATAGAGAAGATGAAGGATATGACTGATAAATTACCACTGTCTTAGATTATAGACTAAATGTTAACAGCTAAGAAATGACTATATAATTTTTATATATGAATTATCGTTGTCATATCTGAAGTGTACTAAAAGTTTTCAACATTATGTATTTGCTGTTTTTATCTTTATAGATGCCAACCAATGTCTCAGTCTAACAAACACAACATCTGAAAGCAAATATATTACTCACGATCCGGATATGAATCCTGGATTGTGCTTCCAGATCTGTCGAGGTTTGAACATGCCAATATCTGCTGTAAATACAGTGACGTGTCATTGTTATCTAACAATGCCACAACACAGCGTCCTTAACTGGACAGAATGTTCGAAATATTGCAAATCAAATAATCATCAGAATTGTGGAGGAGACCAAAATATTTTTTTTGTAACAAAAGGTAATGAAAATAATCAAAACATTTTTCATTTTTTAACTGCCGAATATCTTAGTTTCTTAATTTTTTTAATGCCACACACTCCAGGACGAAGGCGATCACGGGTCTCCACATATGTCTTTTTGCTATTATCTATGAATTATCATGATTTCTTTAGAAAGATATTGGAATAGTTTTCAGTTGCTTTCTCCAAGGTTTTGAATTAAGAGTTATTCTTTTCTTAGACTGGTTGTTACTTAAGGCTAGAGAGTCCAGTTTAACTTGCTATTTAACCCATAGTTTGGAGTAGCTTTGATTGCTTTTGGGGTCATGTCTGAATACCTCGAAAAAAGACAAAGATTTTAGAATTACAATGACCTGGACAATGCTATAAAAATACATATCAGCGATTTTAATGCTACCTCAAGTATTTTTGAACGCAACTGCTCTTTTGATGGCAAGAAGACATCTCCCTTTGAAGCGGAAGTCTACCATGGAAGCAGTAATGGAGAACTCTTGTTAAACTTTTGTTACTCAAAAAATATTCCATCCTTAAACATAGTTTGATTATCCCATAAAGCGTCGCATCACATGGCATGGCCCAGATAACGAAACAAAAAAAAGATTATTAACTCCAGAATCTCAGACTCTTGGATTAGGTAGTTTGTGAGAGATTTTAGAGTAAACAACTCCTACTTTGAATCTAATCACAGACTACTCTTAACTAAACTGGCAATAACAACCAACAAAATAGCTCGTTTCTAACCATATACAGGAGCTGCAAAAGTAGGTATACAGTAAGTATTACACCAGTATTACTAGTATTATAATAGTGGTTCTAGGGTTCATTTAATTCTAGAATTTAATTCATTAAAATAATTTTCAATATGTTTATTTTCCTAACTTGTGTTATAATATATTTATTATAATTTTTATTTTTTAATAATAATAATAATAATAATAATGTTTTCCAGGTAAAGAGGCGTGTATGAATGACGGTGGCAAAGTTTGTACATTTGAGATTGATATGTTTATTATTGATATTTTTATTTCATTATTATTTTTTATAGGTTAGTATAATCAATACAATACATTTAGTGTTTCACGTTTCCATTACTGTATTGCATACTACTCCAGTAGAAAATTTTATACATGTCGACCTCACAGCAGCATATGACCGCATTAATAGGGGCTATTTCTCATCTACTAGAAACTATATTTCAGGCTCCGAATCCACTGATTGCATCGATCGATCGTCCCATAAAATCTTACATTTTCTCCAACACGGAAATGAGAATTCCTGTCTATTTAATCTTTGCCTAGACTATGCCAAGCGCATTTACGTACACAGATGCAAAGAGATGTACACTGATCATTTAAATATTCCATACCACAACTCAAACGAACAGAAGATAACGAGCCTGGTTTCCCTCCCGAGGCCAATGTAGTAATGACGAGGCGGAGGTTATGCCAATGACATACGTATTCATAATTTGGATAAAAATGATCTTGAAAAGAAAATCAACATCCTTTACCAAGTGTTCCAAGAGATAGGACACAAAATAAACCTTTTCAAAACAGAAACTATAATCTGGAATTCGAATGAAAGCAGTAATGGCACATACTATGAATCCATCATAAAAAATTCAGCGTGTGGAATTAGTTAATACTAAACACTTCAAATAGCTCAGTGTATGGATCAGTTATAATAAACTAGCAGCATGGCCCGGCGTTGCCCGTGCTTGATTAAAAAATCGTACGACTCATACAGCAATCGCTATCACTTGACTTAAAATATTTTTGCCCTTCCTTGACTTTAAAGGAGTGCCCTTTGCCGTGCTGATGTTGCTACATGCCTTACTTCTTGCCTATCTCACACTGCGAATTTTTTCTAAGCTCTATACTAAACATTAAATCTGTTACGAAAAAAGAACTAAACAAAATGAACACATAATGATCAGCTTTAAAAAAGGACTCGTAACTGGAAAAACTGAATGAAAAAAGAATGTTAACAACAAATACTTTTTCACAACCAACCCAGTTCTGCGGAATCAGAATCAACGTTGAGTTTAAGCAAGCGAATGAGCCAATTGGAGTAAAGTGCCATGCATATTTAAATTTTTCCCACTTGTGACGAATGCAGCTATCGATTTTTTTTGCAGGCTAGTTAACATTCGTGTCAGTCAGTTGTTAGCTCTCACGCTGGCCAATAGAATCTTCCTGCCTATTCGTGGCAGCCAGCTATAGGCTCTCACTCTGGCCAGTAGAAAACTACATGAAAAGTGCCGTAGAAGCATGAAAAAATCGATTATTTCCACTATCGATGGGAGTTGGGAAATGCAAAGTCGGTCTTGGCCTTCCCGCTAACTTGGAGCATGTGCATGTAAATTTTGGTGCAAATCCGTCGAAAATTGCGGCCGTGCATTCGTTACACACACACACACGCGCGCGCGCGCACACACACACACACACACACAGACACACAGACACACATCCTGCCTTTTATAGATAGATTTAGCACAGGAAGTAAATAAATTGAAGACAGAATAGGCTACGCCAGAGGTAGTTTCGCCCAACACTGCAACTTGCTACATAACCTAAAACATTAAACTGAAAACTCGAATTATGTTTTTAAAGAGCCTCGTTAGATCGAGACTTTCATATGGATGTCATGCATGGCGCCAAGCCCGTTCAGAAATATCTAAACTGTCAGCTGTACACGATCAATAGTTAAAATGGCGTTGAGCAAGTGAAGTCTGTGGGTTTTGGTAAAGATCCTTTTTATTTGAACCTTGTGGACTGGCGCTACAGAATCACAAAGAACTGTACCAACCGACAGAAACAACATCACTTGACGATTTCCAACAGCAGCAACAACTAAAATGGATATTGTTGCATCGGGCTCTAACACAAGGGAAAGTGACCTTGTATTGACTTGATTTTTCTTATTTTTTTACTATTGTGCCACGACACAACAGATTGGCGACGTCGGAATCGAAACGATACCACTGCAGACAATCACCTACAGTGATTGAAATACAAGGATTCGCAAGATTTTACGGCAAAACACCTTCGTCATTTCGAACAGATATGTGGATACGCAAGGATTAATAGAAAATTAATTACTACAATAGTAATTTGGCGACGTAAAAAAAAAATTATTAGAAACAACCAAAGATTTGCTACCAAAAGTCTACAACGTGAGAACGCGAATAATATTGTCAATTATAGTTGAAAATACTGACACGAAGGGTTTCGAAAAAAGAGGTTCACTGTTTTTTTTTGGTTCTTTACAAGAAACCAGAGTTTTTTTTTTTTTTTGTCACGGTAAGATTTTTTTTTCTCCTCTTCAAAGTTAAATGATTTGTCGAGTGAAAAATATATATTCGCGTAAGTCATTGGTGCTTAACAAAGACTGTTAAAAATTCGAGTCATATTTGTGCAAAACCACAAAGAGGCTGGAAAAAATTTTTGTGACTTTCCCATTAGTCGACACTCCTTAAAGCGACGGATTTTTTTTTGTTTTTTACGAGAAATACATATTTCTTGTTTGTGTATTAGTTGAGCAAATTAATTTTAGTAAGTAAGCCTTGGGAAAACTGATTTGTTTAATACAAGTGTAAACTGTATGGTGCGTAAATTGAATTCGTACCATGGACGCAGAATTAAGAGAGTCTCTTCTTCAATTGTTCAAATTTCAAACGGAACAAAGTTTCGCGTTGCAAAAGCAACAACTTCAACGACAACTTGAAAGTGAGGAGAAATTTAAAAAAGAGTTGTTGGAACAACAGAAACGCGTCGAACAAATCTTTATGAAAACACAGGAGGAACAGAGGAAACTTCTGGAGGCAACACAGTTAACGAATGCAAGCGAGAATCATAACGCATTCTCCCAGACGGCTGTGTGGAACGCTATTGAAAGTTTCAATTATAATCCAGAAGACGATGTCACGTTTGCTCATTTCTATAGAAGATTTGAGGATATTTTTGTATCGGATTGCGGTACATGGACAGACGCTAAAAAAGTTAGGTTTCTGCTAAGAAAATTGGGAACTGCCGAGCATACAAAGTTCGTGAATTTTATCCTTCCAAAAGACCAGTGAGTTGAAAAAAAAAGAGACAGTTACTCTACTAACAGAACTGTTTTCTACAAAATTTCTCTTTTTCACAGGAGATATAAGTGTATGAATGTCACTAGAAGAGAGGAAGATGATTACACTACTTATGCAAGTATTGCAAACAAGCATTGCGACGATTTTAAACTGGAGGAATTATCATCAGATAATTTTAAATGTTTAATATTTGTGCAAGGGCTGGTTTTAGGTAAAGACGTTGAGATCAGGCGTCGTGTTTTAAATAAACTCGAAAATGAGCCGAATTTAAAACTACAAAGCTTAGCGGAAGACTGTGAACGGTTTGTTGCGTTGAAACAGGACAGTCGTGACATAGAGGAAAGCGGAGTGTCGCACATTATTAAAAGGTCCATCAGAAGAAAAATTTGGCAAAAAAAATAACCAGAGGAAAAAACAGGGAAAAGATCCACCTGGACCGTGTTGGAGGTGTGGAGATAAACATTGGTACAATGAGTGTCTTTACAAATTCAAACAATGTGACAACTGCTACCGGAAGGGCATAAGGCATCACATTGTAGGAAAAATCTGGTAGAAAGAAGACATCCATTAAACTAACGAAAATTGAACCTGAGAAACGAAATATCCGGAAATTTGTACAGATCAAAATGTTTAAAAAGAAAGTAAGACTACAGCTTGATAGTGAGTCTGATATTTCCATCATTAATATACAGACATGGAAGAAGCTTGGGAGACCCACTATGATTAAATCACATAAAACGGCGAGAAGCGTCAGTGGTGAAAAAATCACCTTCGAAGGAGAATTATTTCAGAATAAGACCGAAAAAGCGAAAATTTTTGTCATGCGAAAATCAAATAACCTCTTTGGAACTGATCTGTTCGAAAAATTTAGACTATGGGATCTGCCTTTAAGCTCTTTTTGTCAAAAAAGTT